CATTGTAAAGACATTTTTCAATGCAAAGAAATCTCTGTTTTATATCAAAAATATGTTGATGTTATGAAACTGTTAAAGATGACATACATGAAAATAAATGTGTGCACCAGAATTAGCAGCCTGGCTGAAGTGTCCACCTGAAATAGCTGCTGATTCCTGGGTAAGAGCGAGTATGTATTTACCAATAACTTCTTGGTAAATACATGTAGGTATGTACAAGTAAATACAAATGGATATTTATCAATCCTCAATTCTGCTCTCATCATTCAACGGCAACAGAGAACAAAGAACATAAAAACAATACCTACCTTGTGCTTCACCTTTCCCACCACAACCACTCAAAGATGTCCCAGTTATATAGTCATGAGGAGAGATTGCTTATTACACCTTTGTGTAGTTGTGTTTTCATTATTCTTTTTTTTTTCTTTTTTTTTTTTTCTGACTGACTTGCTTCAAATATTGTAAACTTTTGGAGAAGCGCTATAAAATGTATTCTAAATATTTGTTTAGGGTTGTTAAAGTGACTATTTAGCTATTAACATTTAAAAAAGCCAGAAACAAGTATTTTTAAAGCCATTTCATACTGTTGCGCCTTCAGGGCATCTAATTTGTCACCAAGCGGGGTCTTGCATACAATTCATAATCACAAGGTGATTTATGGTGCAAAAATACCTGCAGGCTGGAGCTCCCCTTGCTGAGGCATAGTATTACTAATGGAACTGTGTGGAGAGCATGAAGCTGTAGATTTGTTTTAAGGTTGTGTCACTTGGCAAAGCATTGACAGATATACAGTTGATCACAGAGAGTCTTATACACTTTTGATCAGAGTGTGTCAGTGTGGTCACACTGACTGATCATAGATGAGTTATTGACCCTCCACAGAGCAGTGGCTTTTGTTAAACAACTGCAATTCATCACATGCCTCATGGCTGGAAAAGACACGTGTTTCATCACCGTGAATTCAAAAAGAATAAGGAAACCCAAGGACCAATTTTACGTCCTTCTTTGGACAGAGTTTGCTGGCATTTTATTGAAGTCTCTGTAGTTTAAAAGTAATCTACTATTCTTCCTCCAAATTTCCTGATCTGGCATTAAGACTATGTTTGGCCTATAAAGGCTTACCTTTGCATAAACAATGGCATGTTGGAGGTTCTTTTAGTTTGATCATTCTTGGAGTCATAAAGCATGTCTTGCATTTGAATATAATTCAAACAAAGCTTTTCTTTGGCTTTTTGGCTTTCAACAATGTAACTTGAACTTTAAATGATAGGTATTGTGAAGGCTTCTTAATGGGTTTTAGAGATAACCACTTACTATGGTTTCGTTCAGAAATTCTTGAGTTTTTACCCCATGACACTTCTGTGATCTCTGCCTAAAAAAGCTGATACATAAAATTGTAAACTTGTCTTAAGCCCTCCAGTGGAGGATAGAGGAACCTCAGTTGGAATTTGCCAATTCGATGCAATGGACAAAACTGGTAATGAGAGAATCATTACCTTTTTGCAGATTTATCTTTATTGTGTAATGTTTCTTTCAAATGTCGACGTGATTCCCACCAAAAGCTTTCGACCCTTTTTTGGAAGATTTTATTTTTCTTGTCTGGCAAAAAATTATTTTTTTTCAACTTGCAACAAAAGGTATTTGAAAAAATACAAAAAGCTTCTGTAATCTATGAGTTTTATTTACATTTCTTTGTTTTAATAATGTTAAAGTAAATATGTAATCTCCTGATTGTGCAGGAGCAGAACAGTGCAGTTTTTCAATCACAGGCACCAATAATTAGTGCACCTTATGGCAACTAAATCTTTATCTGCAAGCAGGTGTGTTTCTGTGCCCTTGTGCTGTCAGACATAGATGTGCTTTTGTTTGTTGAAGCACATTGAAATATTTAATCTGTAATGCGACTACAAGTGTGTCCACAAGGTGAACTGAGCTCAATTAGGAAGCACAAACAAAATGTGTGTGTTCCTCCCTGCTGTAGAAGAGACAGATTCTAATCAATAACTGCCTGTCCAGGCAGAGCTATTAGCAAACAGTACCATGCCTAATAACTGAGGCCTGACCTTTTTCTTTAATGCTTTTTCTTCTGAGCCTAAGGCAGTAGCGACGGTATGACAGAAGTGCAGCAAGGAGAAAAGGTGAGCATTGTTTTAGTAGTTTGTAAATGTAATGCAGATTGATCACTGTCTTTACAATCTTCCATATAATATTCTTGTTTGCCAAGGCTGTTGGGGATAAAAAGGACAAGGTTAAGGTTCTAAAGTGAAGTGATTCATGGATCTGACAGTATTTATTTATATTGAGTCATGGTATGCTTCTTTGGCATTTTTACACTTAAGGTATTTCAAAGAAACCATGTGCCATACATAACATATATGTCATAACAAAATGTCACTCTGCTCTCAAGTTAATCTGTGCATCAAGATTCAAAGAAAAAACCTTAAACTGTAACTTTCCATTCCAATGTTGCTGCTTCAGGAAGCGTTTTATCTGAAGTAAACCACAAATGCCTAGCCAACTTCAGCTGACTCCTTTTAAAACTGTTGCTTTCTCTGATCTTCACTTTTCCTCCAAGTGCAGCGTTCAACAATAATATCACTGTCTTACAGGGAGTAAAGGCTTGATGGTGGTACAGGAAGACTCACATTTATGGACTCATGTTTAGATAACAGCTGACAAACAGACTCCAATGTCTGTGCATCAGTGTGCAACAGGCCACTGAGAAAAACTGTTCTCTGGTCAGAACCAGCTCCTCTCTTCTAATGCTGAGTGTTTGTCAGTGCATATCCATTCATATATTTGTCTTCATTTTCTCTTGTGAGATTACATTGTATTGTATTTTTCCAAGTTAAAAACATATTTACTTGTGAATGTTATTGGACAAAATTTGGCATACAACTGTGAATGCTGTTCAGAACACAGCTCTTAATATTTAAAGGACTGTCCTTTAAGCAGCTTTCGTTCTGCCAAAGTTCCAATTTTGTTGTTGGATTACATGTTGTAAGTTTAAAGTTACTCCAACATATCCATATTAGCACTACAAAGACAGCAATCATTTTATGTGGCAAATGATGACTTGCTTTCATTCTTGTCTCTGCGGCTCAAACATCCCTATTCACTCTCTCACACACACTTTGAAGCCCAACTCATTGGCATGCCGTCAACTTGAAGCAGGAGTGTGAGAGGCAAGGCTCAATCAGCATTAGATTTGACATTGCCCCTGAGACACTGGTGTGTAAATAGGCACTTCACAGGAGTTTACACAGTCATTCACATCTCTATACCATAGGCATAGGCTCTACTCTCCCCAAACTGACTTTCTTGCCAGAGAAGGGTGTTCTTTTCTCTTTTTCTCCCTAGGAGCATTAAAACTATAAAACTAAATTAAGCTGATTGCAATGCAAATAGTTGAAAAAGGGTACTTATGTATATGCAGTGATGCAATAAAGCGCTCAAAAGAAAGTAGAATTATGCATATAACAAATGCATAACATGTTTTTTACATTTCTGGAGAACATACTGTTTTCCAGATATCACAAGGTCGTAGACAGTGGTGTGGAGAACACTTCATTTTCTCCTCATGTAAATTCCTCCATTTTTAAGGCACATGTGATCAGGATGCACAGGCTTTTCCCAAGGAAGGTATACCGAGCACCTTCACTGTGCTCGGACAATCATCACAATTGTTCATAAATAAGAAGTGGACTCAATCTGAGTGATTTACTTTATAAATCTTTTTGTTGGTTTTTTCCCAACCCTGGTCCTCAAGGCTCACTGCCCTGGATGTTTTAGATGTCTCCCTGCTTTAATTCACCTGATTCAGAAGTTTGCAGTACAGCCAACACCCGTTAATTAGCCATCAACAGTGTGTTAGCCATCAATCAACACACTGTTGTGAATGTTTTAGAAAAACCTAAAACATTCACAACAGTGTGTCTTGAGGGCCATGGTTAGGAAACGCTGCTCTCGGCATATATTATCACGATGCACAAGCTGATATCTTTTGGATATTTTCAGTGTACTGGTAATATCAGTGTGCTGAAGAATGAAGTCTCCTTTAGATGCATATTTACCTTCAAAGTGGGTAAATATTGAACAAGTTGTTCTGGTTTTGAAATGGGAAGTCAGTCTGAACAGAAGCTTGCATTTCCCCAACACTGTGATTTTGGTAGATAGCAGCAAAGAGTTAACGCTTCAATGCGAGAACAGTGTTGAGGGAGAAGCTAAAAACACAGCCAATCCCAGAATGCCTGGACATTAAAGTTGCTCCTTGGGGAAGTGGGATACAGGGGATTAATTGAGACTTGTATGATCCACCTCTACTCCCAGATAGGAGCAAAGAGTCACTTCTTACCAGGAATCATCAAGTCCCTGTCTACTGTAGCAGAAAGGAGAAACAATTGCCTGTGGATTAAATGAAGGGAAAATACTTCGACTGTAAGATGAAACAGGAGGGTGTGAAGCTGAGGGGAATGCTCTGAGGATGGCAAGTAATTGTAATACTTTGAGTGAGTAAACAATTTTGTGTCTGGTTTCAACTAATACAGCACTACACACCAACTTACCATGCACCACATTATTCTGTACAAAACTCTTAAAACCAAAATTATAATAGAAAGAGAAAATAAACAAAAAAATGATGTGGATTTTAATGAATCTATAAAATCCCAAGAGAGGAGAGTGAACGTTTGTGTTTATGTGCCTCTGTGTGTACATGGCCTGATGGATAATTCAGAACATTAATTGTGGTATTTTCCTACCAGTTTCACATAATGTCAGCAAGCCCGGATTTTAGCACGGGTTTGCCGGTGCTGCAGCCCGGGCCCCGAAAGAGGCTTTGTATTTTTGTGAATGAATAACCTCAGAATATTTAAATTTTATTACTGGCTGAGAGGATTTTGGCGGTGTTGTTGAAAAAATATCTAATTTGTCCTGGCAAACGTCAATCATGAATGCTTGATTATTATTGGTTCAAATTGGAGCTTCTTTCCCTTTGGGGCGGAGCTTCCGGGAGGGATTTCTCAAGATGGCGGACAACAGAACGAATTGGCAGTGGAGCGAAGGAACGAAAGAAGAAGAGCGCGAACGCGAGGTGATGAAGAAAATATCCAAGCTAACAGGGTTTTTTAAAACTCAGCGGTATTACGGTCCGCCAGAACCTGGATCGCTGGCTGATCCGGTGCCGTACAGTACTGATCCTGCGCTTTGGGTAAAAACCGATGAGTTCGTGTGAGCTTACTGGGCTGAGCAAGAAGCAGGGAATATGGATGTTAATTTTAAAGCATGTGAACCTCTTTGCAAACATGAGAAACGGTTCTTCTCAAGATCGCGTTTTGAAAGCCAGCTCGCAAGTGATGAGTACATCCAAACGCAGGCAGGCTGAGTTTTCCGCCATCCACCGCGGCTGTGTTTGGTATTTTAAACGATGCTAAAAGTCAGTGATGCTTTGAAACGAGGTTCCGTGAATGGACAAAAAAAGCAACAAAACGATTCAAAGCGAAACGGCTAAAGTCACAGAAAAGTAATGCGACTGCTCTGCTCGCTCGCGCTCAATGCGAAGTCATAAAAACCGGAACTAGTTTTAGCTTCCAGCTAGCAGCAGCTAAATTTTTTTAGTGCGTGTGTGTGCAAAACATAGTAAAAAAGTTGGCAATCATGGAGTGACTGTTGTAAGGTAGGAGCGCTACCTTCACTGCAGTTGGACTGTCCATCAGCCTCTAACACGGTGGACAGTGGCTGCTTTTTGTGACCTTTAGGTAGATAAGTTTTGTGGATGAGATCGGTTCCACAAGGAAGCACTGCTTATTAATATCTTGAGTGAGGTCGATTTGACAAATCATGAATTTAATTTTTATTTTATTATGTTTGGTGTTAATTAGTTACTGTTCTAAAATGTCCAGATCTCCCTTTCAGTAGCTATTTTGCCTACTAACAGGATACAGGAGTCAAAAGACTTTATGTCTACCAGGAAAGATAAAATTGTTACTGGAAAGAAGTAATGTCTTCTGTGCTCATATTTTTCCGCTGACTTTCTTTTCAAACCCCTGGCAATGTGATTTGAAAATATTCTGAGAAGAAAAATAAATAGAAAAGCACTTTCTCCGAAAGTGTTGTTCTAGCCGGTATTCCCAGGAGGCCAGGTGCTGTTGTGAGCTCACTCACACTAGTTCAAGGTTTCATGCTCTACCGCTTACATCACCGGCATTTCTTGTTATCTATGAAGTTAGCTGAAGTTTGACTCAAATGACTACTTTTCAATATGTCAGGGTTTTGCTGTCTGCAAGGTTTAGCTGTGCAATTTTTTTGATTGTATTAATTTTATTGAAACTGGGTTTTAACTACATGGTTCATTTTTATCTTGTGTTGTGCAGAACCAAGATTAATCAGTATTTTTGTAGTGTTGTGATATGATTGGGGTTTTTTTTGTTACTGGTTTGTAACATTTATTTAAAAAATGTTGTACCGTTTGATGCTTAATTCTCAAGGCTTTTACATACATTTATTTACACACACACACAAAACATATGCGCTCGCACACACACCACATATCTGTGTTTACCAAATCTTATTTACGTGTTTAAAACTTAGTTATTGGTTTCTATTTTCCTTTAAAAAATCTCTTGTATTATATTTTGTTTGTGGAATATATTTAAATCATATAAACAAATCCATATTGAAACTATGCAGATTTTAAAAAGGAAAAAAAAAACAGAACAGTGCTACCTTCACTGCAGTGAAGAGGGTGTGTTTGCATGTTGACACGGACTTTATTTTCTGACTATGTCGCAGCTCTGGACGGCTCCTCCTTCACAGAAACACAATATTCATCTGAGTAATTGGGTCATATCTTCAATCTCACTGCAGAATACCGGCGCCAAGGCCTGGATTTGAAGACCCCTTGACAAGTGTTTCAACTGTTGTGTAGGACTCATAAACAAGTGCACTGAAAGTAAGTTAATAGGATTAATTTTTAATCTAATGGGCTTTTAGAAATATCAGTCTGACCAAAGCTATTAACCAACATAAATATATTTTCTTGCATGTACAGTAAAATCCTTAAAACTTAAATTTAAATGTTGGTGAATAGTAAGTCTACAAAGAAAAATATTAAAATATTCATATAAAGTTCACAGCATTTTAGTCGACAAGAGGTTGTTTGAATACCATTTCCATATATTGAACTTTTTAGTTTGCCTCAACTGTCAAGGCATGGAAAGACTTATTGCCACATCAATCAAATGTCCTAAAAATAAACAGCCCAAGAACAGCTGTGGATTTGTCTAAATTTGTGCATGCATGTGTCTTCAGGAAGTAACAGCCAGTGAAGTGGGAGTGTGTAATCTCAGTTGTGGTGTTAGCAGATGGAGAGGGAAAACCACTGACAACACAGCTGGTCCTATGCTGTGCTACTCATAATAATCATCAAATTTTCCATAATTTCAAACCTCAAGTTTGCTTGTGTAAATCACAACAGCAAATCTCCCCACACATTTAGATTTATTTATTTGCTGGTTACCCAGCGCAAAAGTCATACAATTTGATGATGCAACTTACTTTCATGGTACAACGATGACAGCTAGCTTTAAGAGCCCCTTTAAATTTCCAGTTTTAAGGTGAACTCGCTGTTAATTTGTCTCTTCTAAAATAAATGAAAAGGGAAAAAGAAAGCAGGGCTGCATATTTACTGTTGATACAGTAGCGTTGATATGCAGTAAGAAAGACCTGGGTTAAATAAAGAGTTGGGATTCTTTCAGCATGGAGTTTACATGTTTCAGTGTGTATATATGTGTTTTCTCCCGGTTCTTTGGCTATTTCCTACAGTACAAAAGAGGACTGTTAGATTAATCGAATACTACAAACTGCTCTCAGGTGTGAGTGTGTGTGTACATGGTTATTTATCCTGCGTGTCCCTGTCTTACCCCATGACAGTATTATCCTAATTCTCACCCAGTGACCATTGGGAATCGCACATGGTCATTATAGACAATTATAGACAATTACATTTCTATAATTTGTCTATAATACAAATTATAGAAATGTGATGGGTAAATGTTTGCTTTTTGGTCTGGGAGGGATAACATTTATTTTTTACTGCTAAAAACTATTTTAGAAAACACAGTACAATTAATTTTGTAATTGACAGAGCCTCATTTTTTAAAATTTCTATGAACATAAAAAAAAAAAAAAAAATTGTGGAGGGCCCTGTGTTGGTCAGGGGCCCTTGAGATTGTCATAACTTTCCCCCCCATACTGTGCCCCTGAAATCACTTTAAGTAGATTTTATTTAGATACTGTAAGAACACACACTGTTATTTTAGTAACATTTACACCATCATTGTATAAGAATGGTAATGAAGAAACAAAAAAGTTTTTGTAGAATGAAAGAAAAAAAAAACCCCAACAAAACTGTGTATAGAAGCCTGACTTTGTGGTGCAGGCACAGCAGATCATTTAAATGCTGAATATACATTGATAAACGCAGGCTTTAGTCAGGAGCTTTGACTTGCATACATTTCATGTTATTTTTATTTCAGAATGATATGTTGCATTAAGCTTATTAAAAGGTGAAAGATTTTAGTTCTGTTTTACAGCTAGGTTTTGATTACTTTTGTATCCATTCTTATTCCACATTGTAGAATATCCTGGTGCTTACTCATATTCTGTTTCTGCTTTACTGTGTTTACCTGTTATTTAGACTCCAGATTAATTTATAGTAGACTCTGTACAGTTCATTTTTCTACCCTGGTCAAGCCGTTACTTTCCCTCGGTGCCTCGAGGCCTGCACATATTTTCCACAACAGAGTCATTATTTTAACTGACTTAGAGTGGAACAAGGACACTGTTTAATCTGGCCAGAATAGTTTGTACTTTATTGATAATTTAAGTGTGGAACTCCTGGGAAGTCCAGTCAGCAGAAAAGTGGGAATTACATAATCTCCTCATAAACCACAGCCACTTCAAATTTCTGACCAGTCATGCAGTCACTTCAGGACACTGTATGGTTTTTATTTTTTTCACTGATTATATGTCTAGAACAAGTGCAAGAAATGTCATTCTTTCCACATTCTGTCAGTAGATTCAGCAGTTTAACATCCACCAATAATTTTTAAATGGTCTGGTTGAATTCAATCACTGTCGGCTCCGCCTCTTACCTTGTAGTCTTGATCATCTCTTTTAGTTGGACAATACATATTATTACATAACTTCATTTATCAGGTTTTGACAAAAAGGATGTCTTATGACGTGTAAAGCCTATATAATGCACTTGATAGGACAGGAATACACAATGTGTGCATGAGAATTAACAGGTGTGTCAATCATATAAACAAATCCATATTGAAACTCTATGTAAAACCACTGACTTTTTGATCAATTCACAAATTCAACACTAAATGGTATTAACCCATTTCTTATATCCATGCCATGTTTCTGATTAGGTAAATGCTCCGAAAATGCTAAGATGTTAAATGTTCATAAGTTAAATTAGTCTTAAGTATAATGATGTAAATTCAATATTACTGTATTCTGTGTTTTAGACAAATTGGATGGCACATGTCAAATGTTAGAATGGTAGTTTCAGGCAATAGAAACTTGAAACTTGACTTAAACTTGGCAAAAATGAATTGGGGACAGTATGTGACAACTCAGAAAAAATAGCAGAAAACTGGCTGTCACTCCTCCAGAACGAAAGTTGCCTTAATGCTGATAGTGTGTTTTTTCTAATTTCAGTCTGTGAAAGTTAGTTGCAACTTTTGTTTTGTTTTTGTTATCAAAATCCTACATACATATTTATTTTTATGAAGCTCTCCTTCTAATGAATAAGTATGTGAGCTTCATTCATGCATTCGTTTCTGTTAGCTATTGATCGAAGGAAGACCACTATTCTGCACTAGTTCCGCAAGGGAGGTGTATCGACTAGAGCAGGGAATTGCATGTTGCTACACTAAGGAGAAAAGATGAGCGTGTCTATCGTGTTATGATGGATCACCATGAGCTTCAAAGGAGCTAATTGGGTCTTGATGAGGCTAGAGATTTACTGAGAAAGAATAGAAAGCTAAATTAGCACATTAGCAGGAATAATCAATGAGAAAGTTAAGGTGTGCTATTGGTCTTTCTCCTGTTTGCTGACCATACACATTTTTGCATCTTGAAAAACTGCTCTCAAATTTTAGTCCTTTATAGATAAAAAAAAAATTGTGTATAACAAATAATGCTCACCTTTTATGAAGCAGTAACTCAAAACGTCTCTAGCAGAGTCCACAAACTTGCTTGCTTTATAATAGTTTAAAGAGCAATTGTATATTTGGGCAGGTCTTGCAGGTTAAATCTGCTTATAAATACAGATAGGAGAAAATAAGAAGACCTATTGGATATTGGTAGTTTATATGTGATAAGGACTTTGGATTTTATAGCAAAATGTTTACTTGAAACAATCTAAAAAATAAATTAATTCAGTCAAATAAATGTCAGAAATGTATCTTATTTTATGAATTACATTAAAATGTGCATCTTATCAATCTGTGTGTTGTGATCACAACAAAGATGTGTGTAAATTAAAATAAGTGAAAAGGCAAGTATAACATAACAAAGCAAACCACTTTCTTCTAACACTTTTTTGTACTTTTGCCAAAAGGGGAATATTCCACTAGACATTTCTTACCTGCCATGCATGAATTTGCACCATCCTTGGAAATGTGACTGAAGGCCCATCTATTTATCTGTAATGTTTCACATATAGACATGCAAATGCTTTTATTAAAAGCCTCAATCACCTTTTAATATGGAGTAGCAGCAGTTCTTCTCCATGGGTGCTTGTAATTTTAGAACGTCTCTCCTGGTCTCATAGGCATGTCTATATATCCTACATTGGATGCATTAGTTGCACGCAAAATCTTGTTCTTGCTGTCATGATCTTCACTGTGAAAACATTTTTTTTCACCACAACAGATTGGATAAACATCTTCAGTGATGTACACAAAACCACCATCTGTCCATCCATCTTCCAATCCATTCTACCATTAGTTTTGAACAAGACACAAACCTAGTTTACGTCCTGTCATCAAGGCAAAGAGTGACCACCAAACCAGAGGAAGCAATACACCTTTTTCTAGTGAAGAACCATAGCTTGAGATTTAGTGCAGCAGACTCTTATAAATGTTTTTTACTACATAGTTCACTGTAAACCAGTGTATTTATGTGAGTTGCGTAAACTATAGAATTGAAAGTTTTTTTTCAGTTATCTTCATAATGCATATTTATGGAGATAAATATGGTATGCTTAAGGACTTAAGAGTGAATGTTAGTTTCTTTATATGAAAGAATTACCAATTTGCACATTGACTACAAACCAAATTAAACAAAAAAAAAAATCTGCAAAATTTTCTTTGTGCATTTTAACAAGATTTGTAATGTAGGCTTGGGTTTCCTCCTTAAAAATTAAGTACAAGTCTTGTTAGTTACTCTATTTTGGATATTTATATCACATTTTGTTTTTCTCCTTCTGTCTGCAATTTGCAAGTTCTTTAAATTGCTGACAACAGTTAAAGGCCGAAGTTTAAGCATGAACAGTTTTAGGGTTCAAAATATTGTTACAGCCGTAACAGCTGATTGTAAGGTGTAAACTCTAGAGAAAACATATTCATTTACATTTTAATAAGCTCCACTTATTAAACACCAAGATCTACATTATTAATTGAATCAATAAACAAAACAAAACCCACTGTCATAATGTGTTAATTGTTAATGTAAGGCTGTGTCTCAATTACTAAAACTGACTAGAAAATATTTACAGCATAATTGAGTTTATTGACATGGAAAAAGCAAATTAAGGTTGGGAATTGTATAACTTTGAGATTCGCTCGTGTAGTTGACTTTAGTCTTCTTTCTGCATTCAGTATACAAAGCTGTGTCATGACCTCAAGCAGTACTGCTTTTCTACAAGTGCTGACC